GCCCCACAGATTGAACGCAATTGGTTTCTTACAGTACTTCTGCAAGTAATTTAGAGCATACATATCTTCCAGCTGTGTCTCATCAGGAGGGTCAAGCTCTCATTTTACATGTAAATCACAATGTATCTCTTTAACTCGGTTCCACGGTATTAAAATGTATGGACGAGATGCTCCACCATTTAAAAAAGTCACCAGGTTTTATAAGCTCATTAGGACGCCATCTCTATGTCTAGCCCAAAAATTAGCAAGCGCTTATTGAATGTAGCTCAGTATTTTACTTTTTATTAGACGGAAAGTCACCCAAGGTGTATGAGTGTTTGATTTCATTTCTACTAACACTTGGCAATCCAGTTGCCTCATGCAGAGAGCAGAAACAGCCTACACGTTGGCTTATTAAGGAAAGCCATTACAGAATACCCCCCTGTTGATAACTGGAAAGGTGATGCTTTGACTGCTCTGGAGAGCATGCTGCAGGACACCCAGAGCTTGTGTGCGGAGGTGGTAATATCAAGCCTCAATGTGTATGTACTTAAGCCCCAAAGAGTTTCTGTAGGATTTTTAGCACATGTCATTTTTGGTCTTATTAGGTCAGTTGTTTGGCTAATACAGGAACTGTGTGGAACTTCTGCCCTTACGTGTAAAAGTGCCAGGTATTATGCCCCTATGAAGTGTCCACAGGTCTATGTGCAAGTCTGAACTCTGCTACAGTGGTCATAGAGTGTTACCTAAAATATAATTTGCACATTTTAGGCATGCAGAGATAAGGTTTACCCCTCTCAATAAAGTATTTTGCAGTGATGGCGTTGCAGATGTAGAAACCTGCTCTGGGGACAAGTGTAGGACTGGGTGAACATGGATAATGGTGCCTATGAAAGGGGGAGAGCTCAGCAGACATCTCCAGCTTCAGCATTTCGTGAGGGAAAACAAAGGACCCAACCTGGCCATTTTACTTTTTCTTAAGAAAGTATGGGTAGGGGTTTCTTCCACGATCAGGTATGGCCTGAAGATATCCTAGTGTTCTCCTAGCTGATCGCTAATTGGGCAGATATTTTCTGATGTCCGTAGGCTCAATAAACAGGAGATTTAGTTGGCCCTATTTGGGCAAAATCATTTCTGTATCCCCCTACACCTGTTTGACCATCAGAGCCTCATACTGTAAATATCTGGTACTACCGGCTATGGAGGACCATATCACTTGCCCCCTTTACCCCCACAATGCAGTACAATATGCATGCACATCTAACCACACTACTTGTGTTCCATAAAGCACTTTTGAACACATAAAATATTTTAACCAGTCAGCATAAATCTTCCAGCCTGCTTGTCCAACACCATGGGGCCTTCAATGCTATTTTGCCATGGAACGTTGGACTGGAGTGTAACGCAGACCTGAAGTCTAACTATGTTTGCCAATCCTGATTATCTTGTGCATAACAAAAACAAAAGGAAAATAAGAGTCTTCTAGTACAGTGGTTCTCAACCTATGTAACCTCAGGACCCACATTTGTCCTTGGTCATTAAGTCGCGACCCAAAAATAATTTAATTTCCGAAACATTAAAATGTATTCTACAACACAACTTAAGCAGCATTCCACGTTGTATATATTCCCCAGAACCCCTGCACACACCCTGAGGTCCCAATACCCCAGAACCCCCGCAAAAAGCCTGATGCGCCAATACCCCAGAACCCCCACACACAGGCTAACGCCCCCATACCCCAGAACCCCCGCACACAGCCTGATGCCCCAATACCCCAGAACCCCCGCACACAGCTCGATGCCCCAATACTCCAGAACCTCTTCACACAGTCTGACACCCAAATACTGCAGAACCCCCCCTGCACACAGCCTGAGACCCTAATACTTACTAGTTGAGAACCAAGGTTCTAGTACATGTCCTGTACAAATTGTTTCTTTGTGCTCCCACTTGAAAAGATCCATAGGCAATGATCACATGACCTCAACTGCAGAGCATGAATAAAGTACAGGGGGAGTCGCCTAAACTCCTTTGAAGTAAATAAATGCCTTAGGTCATGTAATGGGCAACCATGGATGCTTAAAGCTGTGTTTTCTGCATGACAGCTGAGTTTTACTATTCACTATTGTACATAGTCCACTGTACATGGACTGAGTGGTAATGATAGAGTGTAAGCTTGGCTATTGCTAAGGTGGAAAGGGAAGTAACGTTGGCCAAACATATTGAAATAGTTCTGTGAATGAGCACATAAAAAGCTTAGAGGGTAATTCCACTTTCCTAAATTCACCCAGGAAAGTGGAATTACCCTTTAAAAACGGGTTTTTAACTCCAGGCAAACAACTAAATACACAGATGAAATACATATATTGTTTAATTGCCATAAGATTTGTGTTTTCTGTCCATGCAGTACAAAGCTCTGCCATATAGCACAGCCTTGTCTGGCAGTGCCAGAGACCTGATTTTTCTCTGGTCCTATGCTTTCCATTTACAGGTCCCTGTTCTACCCCCATCCTGTGACCATAATCCCCAGTCCGAGCTCTACTGTACAGGAGGCCACGTTGAATTCAAGTACTTACACTGCTTCCATTTAAAAAATCAATTACGGATGTAATGCATCTACCATCTGTCCAGGGACAGTGATCTATTCCTAACCGCATGGAATCTTATCACATATGATTACATGCAGAGTGCCGGTCACCCGATCATTAACTTGAATGGGTGACAGCGGACGCTTCAAAATGGCATAGGGATTCTTGCTGCAGGAATTCATAGCTTCCTGGTGCAGGAATCCAAAAACGTACCTTAAGTGTAGGTGTGAAAGTCTAAACGACCTGAATATTGCAAGTAATTTTTTACATCAGTTGCATATAAATCTACATTAAAGTGGAACACTGGACAATATAAATCAGTCCCCCTTGTAAGGCCCCGTTCACACAGGGGCGGTTCGGCCGCACGGATCCACCGACATGAATGATCCCATACATTGCTATGGGGGCCATTCACGTGACCGCGCGTTCCGAACAGCTTCCTGCACTATTTCTGCCGCACTGATCAGTGCGGTTTCCATACAGCTTTCAATGGAACCGCGCTGATCAGAGTGGTTTTGGGCGTTTTTAATTGCGTTTCAGCACTGAATCGCAATTAAAAACTCCCAAAACGTCCCTTTTTAAATCAATGCGGTAACCGCGCTGATCCGTACCCATCCTGGTGTGAATGGGCTCTAACATAGTTTTATTATCTGTCGTAAGCCCCTCTGGCAGTGTTATATGGTTTGTCCCAACCCATGTTACTGTCACTTTTGCTGGGCAGCTTGGTGTGCAGGCAAATGTGGAGAACATTTTTTACATAATGGCTTGTGAAAAAATTATATAATGAATACTTTCAGTATAGTTGTTACACTATAACACAATATTTTTGCTATAAGGGTCCTTTAAATAAGTTTGACTGGAAAATTATGGAAGACAGAGTTGGATCTTTATTGCCAATAACAGTAGACAGTAAACAACTGCCATCTCGCTGGTTGCTATGGGCAACATACCCCCTTTTTGCCAGTTTTTATACAGCAGCCGAAATCCGTCTTGGTTGCCATGCCAGAGCGCTTGCTATGATTGCTCCAGCTGGAGTGTTGACATGACTTTCCTCAGCTGGGACCCCCAGTCTGTACAAGTCTCCCACACTCAGACAATGAGCAACCTTGACAGCTCTCCAGCTAATTAATCACACAAGCCCTAACTCAATTAGAGGCAACCTCTGTAGGCATCTGATAGCTGGGAAATAAGCAGAGGGAGAGTCATTAAATGCTTATTATATAATTTCTAATGAGAGCCGTAGAAGAAAGAATGTGAAATATTATAGGAACGCAAATATCCACAGGGACATGGCACCCCTTCATCCCCTGACAACGAGCCAGACTGAATAGCTAACAATGTGATGACACAACTTTTACTCTATGATTAAAGTATATGTAAAGCCAACACTTTTTTATTCTAGTTTTGGATGGAGTAGAAAATGGTTAAAAACTCTGCCAGCTTTAGTTTGCTGTTTGTTTCCTAATAGGCGAGGGGTTTCCTTTAATTTCCTATACCAAGGGCACCACAGGAAGTGTGGGGAAATCTGATTTAGGTACACTTTAAGAGCTGGCCATATACTATACCAGAGGTGGGCAAACTCATGCCCTCCAGCTGTGGTGGAACTACAAATTCCATGACGCATTGCAAGATTCTGACGGCCACAGGCATGACTCAGTGCTCAGTCACACTAGATGCAGTGCGTTCCGGCCCGATTTCGGCTGCTGCAAGCACAATGTGCCTTGCAATCACGTGCGGCAAATCGCATTGCGGCCGGAGGGCGTGGCTACGGCGCCATTCACTTGAATGGCCCGCCACGCCCCCTCCTGCCCCAAAAGTGAGCCGGCCGCAATGCGAGGCAGTGCGTTCTGGCCAAAATCGGGCTGGAACGCACTGAATCTAGTGTGACTGAGCCCTCACAGTGACAGATGCAACATGGGATTTGTAGTTTCACCACAGCTGGAAGGCTGGAGTTTACCCACCCTGGCACTATACCAGGGGCAGGCAGGGCTGGTGCTAGGATGCTTGCCTACACAGGCAAGGTGCATTTTTGCGTCCCTCCCCGACCCCCTGTAAAAACAGGGCATTTTAACAAGTACTTGTACTTGTCAAAATGCCCCGATGTTTACGCTATGGTTTTGGGGTTTTTTTTCACTTACCTTCGGTGCGGGAGAGCAGAGGCGAGTCAGCACTGGTCCGGTGGGAGGAGCTCCAGGTGGGGTCCTAATTTAGCTGGCCGGCGACTGCATGAGGTGCCGCGCGTGTCGGGATCCTCTGGCAGTCGCCGGCCAGCTAAATTAGGACCCCACCTGGAGCTCCTCCCACTGGACCAGCGCTGACTCGCCGCTGCTCTCCCGCACCGAAGGTAAGTGAAAAAAAAAAAAACATAGCGCAAACATCGGGGCATTTTGACAAGTAGATGTACCTGTCAAAATGCCCTGTTTTTTCCGCCCTCAGGCGGCCGCCTGACTTGCCTTGCGGTGGCGCCGGGCCTGGGGGGCAGGTGCATCCCATTGTGTCTGCCTCTGAGAGTCATGCCTGTGGCTGTCAGAGCCTTGCAATGCCTCATGGGATTTGTAGTTTCACCACAGCTGGAGTGCCGAGGTTGCCTACTCCTGCACTATACAATCTCCTTTACCACCAAAACTATGTAATATGAGGACATACCTAAACATTTCAATTCAATTTGTATCCAATTAGACAGGATCCTTACAATACACAGTTGATGGTAGATTTAAAGAGATCAAAGCAAATTGTGCAATCAGATTATATAGTGTAGGAATGTCCAGGCATTTTCACGAGTACTTGTACTCATGAAAATGCTCTGATTCTTGAGGCCAATACCAGCCCTTTAAATTTTTTAACCGCAGGGGCCGCTGAGTTCCCGCGCTTGTGGGGACCTCGGCAGCCTGCTGGGGACCTGCAAGAATGCCGTCCATGGCAGTGGCCGTCCGGTTCTTTATCTCCTCCCCCTCCTGCCCACTGACAGGGGTGGACTGGGCCGGGAGGCAATTGGGGGGCCTAGCGGAGAAGATGGAAGCCGGAGCCCAGCAGTGGAAAGGATGGAGGTCGGGGCCCAGCAGCCGAGATGGTCTGCCAATGGTTGGCCGGACAGCCGACGGAGATGGTCTGCCCGTGAAAGAGGCCAGTGCCCAGCATCGCCGGGGAGGTTGAGTGCCCGCAGAGCCACTGCAGATGTCCACATGTCGCCCGGGTGACATGGACACGCAGCCTGGTGAGATTAATTCTGCCTTAGGGACATGTGTTCTGCTTTGGGGACATGTATTCAGTTCTGGTGACATCTGTAATTAGCCCTGGGGAGAAACTGCTATAAAATCATCAGTCTGTGTTGTTTTAGAAAAAATGTTTCATGTCCCTTTTAAGAAAAAGTATCGATAATTAGTATCGGCAAGTACCTGAGTACTTAGTCTTAAAAAAGTGGCATCGGGGCATTCCTAGTATAGTGTATAGCTAGCTTTAGATACATTTTGGGTACCCGTTCACACCAGGTCCATGCATTAATTGCACGGCTCTGTGTGTAAACAGTGCAAGAGGTGTGTTGCGTTGCCATTCATTTGACTAGTACCCCAAACGCATTTCCGGCCCGCAATGTGCTCAACTGCACCGCAGTGCACAATTAGATCACCCGGAGAGAATGTTTGTTTTTTGCAACAAAAGTGGAGTTACTCTTTTAGTATGAATCCGCTGCCACAACACTAAAAAGTTCCCTTCCTGGTCTCAAATAGTTGGGAAATACACATTGTTGTGTATTGTGGATGCAGATTTCACATAATTGCATCTCCTACTATATTTTCCTCAAACCTAAAAGACAACTGAAATCTTACTAAATCCATAAAGGATGCCAGTGAAATCCCATGTAGTGTTTTGATTACTGCTGAGAAATCAAGATGTCCTCCTTCCGCATATATTGGTATGGATGTAGCTCTGATCATTAGAATATGCATATATAGGTTTTCTATTAAACAATTCCCTGTACTTCACTTTGATGGTCTCCTATACTGCAGATCTTCTGGCTTTGATTATGTATAAACGCCGCGGATAGCTCAAGCTGTCATCCTGTGAGGTGCGGTCTGATTTTTCTTTTCAGTTTTCGGATCTATATCACTCAGTGATAATGGAAGACATCGGGGACGGTTCCTGAAAGCAGGTGCAAATAAAACGAAAGCGTTTGCTGATAGCAACCGATTGCTAATTTATAAAAATAAGTCTCCCTCGGCCCTGGCCACGCCTCCACCCCCTCTCACCCTGCAGCTTGCTGCCAGGACCCACCAGCATCCACCTGAATAGGCAGCCTGGGCTGCCTGATTGTGTGCCCGGAACCAGCTTTCCTCTCCGATTTGAGTGCAGCATTTTTCGCCGCCCCCCCTGAAAAGTGTAGCTCCAGACAAACGCCTTGTTTGCCTCACGGTAAATATGCCCCTGACTGTGGGACATGTGGAGGGGGGTCAGGCGGTACAGCATGACTGTTCTGCTGCATAATGTTTACAGTGTGTCCACCACACCCTTTCTGGAAGGAGTGTCCCAGGTTGCTGAGAACCAGGAGAGGGAGAGGTTTGAGCCAGGAGGGGAGAGGTTTAAGGACTATACACTCAGCTCTTGGCAACCTGGGACGCTCCTGCCAGCATCCCACCGAGCTCCTGGCAACCCATGGTTTTGGGTAGGGATGAGCTCAGGTCGGACCGAACCCAGTCCAAACCTGAGCTCATCCAAACACAGGAGCTACACGCTCCTCCTGCCAAGAGGCGGAGCATTCCCCGCAGCTGACCAAAAAAATGCTTGTGCTGATGTGATCTAACCTTCATAAACCCTATATGGCCATATATGGTCAATGACATCACTGCATCCCGCCCTTAGTGCTTATGTCAAGCTGTGAGCAGGGAATTCCCTGCCTGCAGTTGATTGAGCATGCTTAACTTGCAGCCCCCACTGCAGGGGAAAATGTTTAAAGTTTCAAGGGGTTTAAAGTTTAAAGTGTATCTAAACCCCAAAACAAAAATGTCTGGGATTCTATAGATAGCAGGCCTAGGTGAAGTTTTTAGGGGCTCTAGGACAAAGTTAGTTGACTCAACGATGGCAACTTCAAATGTTCTAATGAACGATTTTGAATGAATGTTCAAACGAAATTCTAGTCGTGTAAGCATGGCCATCTTTTGTGCCTTCTAACCATAACCTCTATGGGTATACTGTTAGCATTGTATTAGTAAAGATATCATGGTAAAAGAGAACAAAAAAAACTAGAGCTCCTTCTTTACCTGACTTATATTTTTCACATTTTTCTTTTTCAATCCTGACCAAATTAAATACAAAACACAATATGTAGAAAGCCACTATGCATTCCCTTTAAAGGAGAACTATGAGATGAGTGATTTCCACTCACCTCATAGTTCTAGCCGACCTGTGACAATGAGACTGTCACAGGTCGGCTCAGTAGATCGGGAGGTGAGCGAACACATACCAGGTTCGCTCACCTCTCGATCCTGTCACGGCTCTCTGCCGTGACAAGTGGAGGGGCTGGATTCCCCTCTCCCCGCTCCGATCTGCCAGCGCTGACTGGCGGAACGGACGGGGGAGGGGGCGGGTACAGCTGGCTCTGCCTCTAGATAGGCAGAGCCAGCTGTCACTCACGCAGCTGGGAGGATCCCGTCATCTACGTCGGGATCCGCTCCGGCGTCTCAGTATACCGCGAGCTGTAGCTCGCGGTATACTGAGCTTAGGGTAACGGGAGGACGCTAGTTTGTGTCCTCCCGTTACGCTAAGGAGAACTATGGGAAAAACACTGACCCCATAGTTCTCCTTTAAGACTAACACACTTCGTCTTAAAGGTTCAGCAACATGCAGGCATATTGGATGTTGTCTATAGTGAATGGCCCCTTCCACTGTGCACTTCCCTAGCTGGATATCGTAACCCCATTTAAATTAATGAGGCCATGCGGCAATCGCGTTGTGCAATTGTGCACGATCGCGTGGTCCAGAGACAAGCATCCCAGATCTCCCAGGTCTGTACCGGTCCTAATGCATCGTTAAATATATCTTTTGTAATGCAATCAGTGTAAGTACCTAAATTTGACTTCGTGTCGTCCTTTTGCAGCCCCTGCACTGCAGAGCTAAGAGAGGGGGATGGGGAATCAGCAGCAAGAGCCAATCAGGTGTGCTCAGGGCCGTCTTTAACGCAGGGCAAAAGGGGCAGCTGCCCCGGGCCCAGTCAATGGAGTGGGGCCCAAAGCAGCTGCCCCTTGACCACGAGACATCACACACGGGGTCACGGCTCCCTCTGACGTCTTCTCCTATCTGCTCTGCCGGAGTAAGACGTAGTGCAAAAACAGCTTATGTCACGTCACACACATCAATCAGAAGAGTGAGATGGGACATCCGGACTGAGCTACAGCTGCACCACCAGGGCAGAGGCAGGTGAGCTGAGTTGGGCTGGGCTGCTTAGGCATCATGTGTTTTTGGGATGTTGGGGTGGAGAGCGAAACTACGTGGTGGGCCGGCATGGAGTGGGTAGGGTGCACGGCAGGGGGCCCAAGAAAATGTTTGCCCAGGGTCCAATCAATATTAAAGACGGCCCTGGGTGTGCTGCAGTGCATGGAGCGTACTGATAGGAGGAGAAAGATGAGCTCATCAGTCTGCTGCTTCTCCTTTCTGTTTAGCAAAGCTCTGGAAGGCTGGATGCACAGGCATAGAAATCCTTTGGCCGGTAAAACAGAGCTCATGTATGTATTTCATCTGTGCATTTAGCCTTATGCCTGGAGTTCAGCTTTAATGAAAACATACTGCAGTCAGGTCATAATTGGAAGCAACTCAGCATTAAACACAAATTATGTGGCACTTTTCATATATCACAAAAATGGGAACCAGACCAAACTGCCAGTAATGGTGTAATGCTATATTCCCAGAGGTGTACATGAAGATCACATGAACAAATGTCACTGGGTTATTGATGGATGCAGTCAACGTTTATCCTCTATTAGGTTCCCTTTGGCTGTTGAGCTATTGCTAAACACCTGCCCTTACATGACATTCATACTATGGGGCAGAGAGCAAGACTCGTAAAGACCAAGGTATGGTTGACAGATGTATATCTTCTTTTATTTATACAGAACCAACATATTCTGAAGTGCTTTACAGTGAACTCTAAACTATTTGCATCATTCTTTTCCTCTAGAGCTTGCATTCTTATATGTAGACCAGTTTGGGTGGATGGTGATCAATCTTCTCATTCTTTTTTTGAACTGTGGAAAAAAACTAAAGAACCTGCAGAAACTCACACAAACATGGGATTAAAATACAAACTGCAGATAGAGTTCTGGTGGGAATGAGACTAGTACTAGCCAATAAGCCACCAAGCTGCCTTGAGGGCCCGTTCACACCAGTTGCAGTGCATTTCGTCCCGATCCTGGCCGCAAAGCACTGCCTCGCATTGCGGCCGGCTCACTTTTGAGTGGGGAAGGAGGGGGCATGGTGGGCACTATTTTGATAGCACTGGACCGGACCGCAGGCACAATGTGCCTTGCAATCCCGTGCGGGCGATCGCATTGTGGCCGGAGGGCGTGGCTACGGTGCCATTCACTTCAATGGCCCGCCATGCCCCCTCCTGCCCCACTCAAAAGTGAGCCGGCCGCAATGCGAGACAGTGCGTTCTGGCCAGAACGCACTGCAACTGCTGTGAACAGGCCCATAATGTGAACCTGTGTGAAGATCATGCGCATTAAAGTATTCACATATTATGAACAAAACCAATTGTAAAACAAACTGCTCATTCATCTCTGTATCTATAAGCATTGTAGAGAAAATCATTTCCAAAGTTGACAACACAGGCATTGAATTCTGAGATTTTTTTTCTATTTTTCTCTTCTTATTTTTGACCAAGCACTTACAGACATCATGTTTGCTAATAGCTGGTTCCAACTCTCTTAGCTCTGTTTCCATGAACTTCTTGTCCAGTACAAGATCACAAGGGACAGAGCAGACTCCAGTAGCCATTCATATATTAGCTTGGAGAAGGGAGAAGATAGGAGGAGCGGGGAGCCGAGCGGTGTCTTGCCTTGCCTGTGTGTTTGAAGAGGCACACAACTTACTAGCACACCCAAGGTTGGCTCCACAGAACTTGAAGCTAAAACTTTTTAAACATCAAGGAGCAGCATCCAGTGTAAGTGATTTAAGCAGCATTTGCAATACCTTAAAAATCTTTTGACTTTAATAATGCTTTAAGGGAACGCTCCAGATGGAAATAAGAATTAAACATTTCAATGGGGCAGCACAGTGGCTCAGTGGTTAGCACCTTTGCCTTGCAGCACTGGGGGGTACCTGGTTTGAATGCCGGTCAAGACACTATTTGCATGGCGTTTACATGTTCTCCCTGTGCTTGCTTGGGTTTCCTCCCACAATCCAAATGCATTATGGTTAGGTTAATTGGCTCCAGTCTAAATCGGCCGTAGTGTGCGTATGTGAGATAGGGGCCTGGGATTGTAAGCTCCTTAATTCAGGAATACTGCAGGGTCCTTAGATTGTAAGCTCCTTGAGAACAGTGATAGGGACCTTGGATTGTAAACTTCTTGAGGTCAAGGATAGGGACCTTAGATTGTAAACTTCTTGAGGTCAGGGATAGGGACCTTAGATTGTAAGCTCCTTAAGGTCAGGGATAGGGACCTTAGATTGTAAGCTCCTTAATGCCAGGAATAGAGACCTTTAGATTGTAAGCTCCTTGAGGTTAAGGATAGGGACCCTAAATTGTAAGGTCCTTGAGATCAAGGATAGGGACTTTAGATTGTAAGCTTCTTGAGGTCAAGGATAGGGACGTTAGATTGTAAGTTTCTTGAGATCATGGATAGGGACCTTAGATTGTAATCTTCTTGAGGTCAAGGATAGGGACCTTAGATTGTATGCTTGTTGAGTTCAAGGATAGGGACCTTAGATTGTAAGCTTCTTGAGGTCAAGGATAGGGACCTTAGATTGTAAATGTCTTGAGGTCAAGGATAGGGACCTTAGATTGTATGCTTCTTGAGGTCAAGGATAGGGACCTTAGAATGTATGCTTCTTGAGGTCAAGGATAGGGACCTTAGATCGTAAGCTTGTTGAGTTCAAGGATAGGGACCTTAGATTGTAAGCTTCTTGAGGTCAAGGATAGGGACGTTAGATTGTAAGCTCCTTGAGATCATGGATAGGGACCATAGATTGTAATCTTCTTGAGGCTAAGGATAGGGACCTTAGATTGTATGCTTGTTGAGGTCAAGGATAGGGACCTTAGATTGTAAGCTTCTTGAGGTCAAGGATAGGGACCTTAGATTGTATGCTTCTTGAGGTCAAGAATAGGGACCTTAGATTGTAAGCTTCTTGAGGTCAAGGATAGGGACCTTAGATTGTAAATTTCTTGAGGTCAAGGATAGGAACCTTAGATTGTAAGCTTCTTGAGGTTAAGGATAGGGACCTTAGATTGTAAACACCTTAAGATTAAGGATAGGGACCTTAGATTTAAGCTCCTTGAGGTCATGGATAGGGACCTTGGATTGTAAGCTCCTTGAAGGCAGGGACTGATGTGAATGTACACTATGTAAAATGTACTGTGTCAATTGTTGGTGATATAGAAATACCTGTAATACATAAAATGCCTTTTTGTTGGTAATCTGGTGAACACGCCTGCTTCTACTGCGCAACCCGTATTTCTGCCAGTATGGATGTTCGGGTCAAGATTCAGAATATCATTTTAGTTCTTCTTTTCTATTTTTAGGTGTGATCATTGTCAGTCTTTCAGGATGGCCAGGAAGTGCCTTCTTACCTTCCAAAGACCTCTTTAGGTTCCTGTTTTCAGCTTACAAGCTGAGTGAGCAACATAATGGTCTGCATCCAGTTCCAGTCAATGACTTAATTACAACCATTCCCTTGTGTTTCATTATTAGACGTTTACAAACCTCTGAACTGTTAAGACTTGCCACTCAGCTTTCTGTGTGGTTTGTATTACGGCGTGACATCACTCACTGTAAAAGAGTCAATTGTGCGGTAACGTATCCCAGTCGATTGTTTCTCTTGGTAGGTGGGGGCATAGAAAAAGCTAATTGCAGAGGAGAAAGAGGAAACTCCTGCTAATAATTAGGAGGAAAAGAAGTGACTCTGGCAATAATCCCCCGGTGTTTAACTTTACATCCAACTCATCAATTTAAGCCAATCGTTAATTACAGTAATCCCAAGATGGTACTGGAGAATTTACACAAACACTAAACTGCTGTTCAAAAGCTCATGTTGGAGGCAAATCAGGATAACTTGACCATAAAAAAGCAGGCTTTTAGGCGTACCTGTCACTTACGTAGACACAGTTTTTGTTTTATCCAGCTGTATTTACTCAGTGCAACCTATAACATCGACGTGAAAGATAAAACACCAACATGTCAGAAAAATATCAAAGAAATTCAAAAACAGAATCACTGAGTTGGAAATAAGATCACCCCCTTGTCAGTATTTTGTTGAACCACCTTTTGCTTTATTTACAGCCTTTAGGGCTCGTTCACACCAAACACAGTGCGTTCCGGGCCCGATTCTGGCCAGAACACACTGCATCCCATTGCGGCCGCCTCACTTTCTCTTACTGTATGTTGATCCTTGTTTAGAATCTTTGAGTAATCTCTGTACCACAATGTTGGATCTCGTTGATTATTGGTTGGCATGTTACTATGAAACCAGTTGTGTTGATCTTGTAATTTCTACCCTAAGATTGTTGATAAAAATATTGAACAAGAAAAAGTAATTTTGGAAGCACATAAGGATAACTTGACCATAACAAAGCAGGCCTTTAAGTGTACATGTCACTTGAGGTTTATGGCGGTACAGAGATTACTCAAAGATTCTAAACAAGGGTCAAAAAACAGTATGCGTACAATGGTAAAGTAACAAACAATGCAGTTAGAGAAGCTGCCAGTAAAATATCAGCACACTCAGAGTAAAGAGACATGGCATAAAGGGACCCAGGAGGGGAGCAGTAAGAATATAAGGTAAGGGGGGATAGTAGGGGCCAGAGGATAGGTAACAGGCAAGAAGGGTGGTGCGCAACCATGGCCTTCTGGGTAACTAAGGTTTGCTGTAGCCAAAACTGATTGTTTGGTTAAGTGCGTGTGTTCTGGTGGGCTGATTATCCCAATGGCTTTGTGTATAAAAGAAATCTCAATGGCACAGTCTCCATACTGGAGGTTTCAAGACACTCTTTTGCCCCCCACCTATGGAGACTCACGTCTCCTGTGTAAATGTAAAATCCAGAAGAGACCGCATGTGTTTTTATTGGCCTTTAGAAGACGAGGAGGTGAGAACACATTACAGTAATCCCAAGATGGTACGGAGAAATTTATACAAACATTAAATCTTTTAAAAAGCTCTTGTTGGAAGCAAATCAGGATAACTTGACAGCACAGCAGGCTTTTAAGTGTACCTGTCACCTGTGCATTAAGGGCCAAAGGGCTGCTGTAGCCAAAACTAATCCTCATCAATCTGGTTAGGTGTGTGCGCTGGTGGGCTGACTCTCCCACTGGCTTTCTATATAACAGAAACCTCAATGGCACAGTCTCCTACTTGGGTTCCAAAATACACTCCTGCTCCCCACCTATGGAGATTCACTTCTTCTTCTGAGTAAATGTAAAATCCAGAAGAGACCGCAACCTTTTTAATTGGCATTTAGAAGATGGGAAGGTAGGAACATAGAGTGCCTGAGTTAAAAAAAAAAAGGAAAATCCATGAGGTCACCAATATGTACCCAGTATTAAAATAAATGTTTTAGGTGGACTGCCCGTTAAAGCTGAGCTAGCACTTGGTTGTCCTTCTTTCATAAAGTGTCATAACTGCTTGACACCAAAATGACTGACAGTCATTTTGGTGTCACCCCCTCTAAAAACTCGGGCACTCTGTCATGGACCGAGAGCCCGACAGTGTCAGGAGGGAGGAGGTACCCGGCTGGATACCTCATCCCGCCGGGTGAACGTCCCCTCCTCTCTCTCCCTGCGTCCATCACCAAGATGGCTGCCGGTAAGCGTCAATCAGATGGCCTCGTATGCGCGATGACGACACGGCGGAGTGTCACCTGTTCTAGAGACCGGGTGACACCCGGCCTCGGGACGCCCCTGCCTAAGGTGCCTTCTAGTCTTCTCAGGAGTGCTTTGAGATTTTTGCATTGCATCATGCCTTTCCATGGTGCAGGTGGGCTTGCCACCAGCACCAAGGAATTGAATGCTGCTAATGAAGGCAGGGTGGGATCTATTCAGGACAAGATGGAAGTTCTCCTCCTTCAAGGCTTGCTCCGACACCCACCCTATGCCATGCTGCTGCAGCTGTGGCTCCTGGGGATATTGTAGGACTCTTATGTGAAGGGGGGACTGAGGACTCTATGGGGTGCACATCATTTTTTGCATTTATATTTTTTACATTTTAGATTGGAGTGCCTCAAGATTTTGCATACTTGCCGAGAAAAGGTTGAGAAATGCTGCTCTAAAGAAAGAATTTGTCCCACCCTATTCCTCCTCTGTGTATCCCCTTAATAAAACTTCAGATTAATTTTAGATGTACTTGTTTCCATGGTACCACTGACATCATCATGCCAGATGCCCCATGCAGGATAAAGCAATCGGTTCACTTAACTTCCAGCCTTCCCAGCTGCAGAAACTTTCCCTTCACTCCCTCACTGCTCTGTTCTGCCTCTGGGGATAAAGTGAAGAAGTCCGTCCAGCTCCAAGATCCAGCTCAACCACATTTATGGGGTTATGACTCTCTCCCTATACTGCAGGTGACCGGAATAGTGACCGGGGATTGGCACACTGGCAACATCAGAATATTTCATGGCAGGTTGGCCTAATTAAAGGTATCAATTTTTGGAACTAGAATGTATCATTCAGAGGTTTGTCGGGTGCTCAGGTCGCTAGTTCCAAGGCATAACTGGAATAGATATTTTGGGAGGAGCAATCCTTCAAAAACCAACTCCAGGCAGCATAAATAATTATTCTTGCAGTGGCTGCTAATGCCCCCCCAACACACAAACATAAACTCCGAGAGATAGGAATAAGGTGAAATACTCACCTTATTCCTTCTTTCTCCTCCCCGTAAGACTGGCCCCCCCAAATTCACCCCATTTTGGCTACCAGCATGATTTGACACTAACCTACTGTTTATCTTTAAATTGATGTTAAAGCCAAAAAGTATTCAAGCTTTTTCAAATGCTCAATATGTCACTTACTATGGATGCTGCTACTTAAAGTTGGAATAAGCTGGTCCCTGAGCACTGGCCCTGAAATCCTGTTTTTAGGTGGCTCCTTTCCCTTTCAGGGTCCTATGGAGCCACCCTTTTGTGTGCTAGTAAGCTGTGTGTGTCTCCACACATACACAGTCACAGCAAGACAAGACCCTCCCCTTCCTGCTTTCCTCCCTCCTCTAAGCTAGTAGATGGACAGCTGCTGGAGACTATGCTGTCCCTTGTGAGCTTGTACAGGACAGGAAGTTCAGGGAAGCTGAGCTGAGAGAGTTGGAGCTGTTCGGAAACATGATGACTGTTAGCATTTGGGCATAATTTTGAAGAAATACTTTGATGGGCAATGTATATTTGTTTCATCTGGATTCATTGTCTCCTGGTACAAGATGTAATCTCATTCTTGGGCCAACTTAACCTACCACACATGCCATTGTTCTTTGTAAAACTGCTAGTTGCCTGGCTGCCATGCTGACCCAAGGGCTTCAATCTTTTCACTGACTCTGAATATTTTTTTTAGATCGGCGTCCTGACTACTCTGGCTGCATACTGGGTTGTCACCTGGAAAGTCCAGAATACAGAGACCAGCATGCAGCTCGCAGGTTCAGAAGGAGGTCAGCAATGGCTGCCTGGGTATTTACATAGTTACATAATATTTGAGGTTGAATAAAGACATAAGTCCATCAAGTCCAACCTATTGCGTGTATGCATTTATGGTCTCTTAGCAGTATTTCTTTCAGTATTCCTTTAACACCCCCCATCCCCCCAAAACAATTCCTGAAATTAACATTCAAACATAACAATCAAAAAACAGTTACATTTATCATATCTTTGGCTTTGATCAAAACTTTGATCCTTCAAATCCACTTAAAGCGTATTTCCACTTTCAGAGCCAAATTGGGATAACAACTATTTTATATTTGTGTTCCCATTCAACTTGGAGATAGGAACAAAGCCTTGTCAACACATACCAGCTTGACCAAGGACCTTCATGGCAGGATCACCAAGTACTAGTTTAATAAAAGCCGCAAATTTAAACAAAATCGAAAAATGACTTTGGAGATCACATCGACATGTTAAAGCTTATATGAGATTCTAGTGATTGGGTTTCCATATACTTCAGGACAGTGCTGTGCTGTGTTATAATGTGGCCACTCACACTGATGCGTTGTGAGTTTTTCTAGCAGAAGAATTTGATGGGCAATCCAAGCGGGCAATTTTCTTATTAAAATTCTTTCTTAAAATGTGCTCTCGAATTCTTTAATAATATTAGTCCCACTATCTTTGCTGTGATCTAGACCTTATTATCCCTACTTTTCATGTTGCATTTCAGTCTTTCGCCCTTTGAACCCAGGTAATGTTATCCAGCATTCCAATTTCACACAGAAATGCCTCTTGTCCTGAATATTACAATCCCAGCATATGATCCCCCCAATTCCTCCTTCCTGTAAGTATGGTGTTCCTGTATACTATGAAGGAACTGTCAACTGTATTAGATGTTATATATATATATATA